GGGTGTCGACTAGCAGAACACTGCGAAGCAGACACATCGACAATATAGACACCGCAGAGATAGACACCACCACCGGAGACATAGACTTGCCAAAAAATAGCGCGGCAGATCGAGAGACGCCGGGTGGGCAAGGTGTGTACCCTGGCCGGGGCACGTGAATGGCCGTGTGAGCAGCAGCCGACACCAACTCTATCCCATGCATCGCGCTCCAACTACCACCGGAAGAAAAGCCTCCAGAGCAGGGTTGGTCACAAAGGATCCGGTCCGCGGACGGTCCGCGGTCCGGTCCGGTCCGGATCGGTCCGAGTGGATCCGAGAATTTCGGACCGGACCGGACCGGACCGGACCGGACCGGTCCGGTCCGGTCTGAACACAAAGGGACATGATTCAGGAGCCAGATATGGAAAATTTTGTATGCAAAATACTACTCTCGAAGAATTTGACATATTTTTCCACTTCTAGGCTGCTATCCGTCGCGTATATAGCCAAAAATTAAAGGGAAAGGAATAATTTTATACATTTTGATTAAGCGAATTCCACATTACTTTATTTTTTGGCACGCGACTCTTTTGCATTCCGAATTTGCATGTTGCATTTCCGTTTCTCCTAGCAAATCAAAGCCCCTCGGTCCGCCACGGACCGGACAGGTCCGGTCCGGCCCGGTCCGGTCCGGTCCGGATGGAAGTTTCGGACCGGACCGGACCGGACCGACCCCCGGACCGGACCGGACCGGATCCGATTAGGATCCAGCGTGACCAACCCTGCTCCAGAGCATTTTTGAGACGCCCAGAGACGGTGCACCAGACAAAAAGGGAGCATTTCCCGCCTAAAAAGTAATCTGATGGCGCGCGTCTAAAGGCGCAAAAACCGAAAAATCTGTGTTGAAAATCGGCAAATTCTGGAGGCGCGAAAGCGGGAAGCGTGCTGTACTGGACTGTTAGCAGGCGGAGGGTTTTTTGCAGGAGGGAAATAATTTTCGTTTTTCGGTCTATACCTACCTGTTAATAATCAATCGTGTAATTCATAATGTTGTCGTAGTTTTTGATTGCTAGAAGGTTACAAAGGATAGTTTAGATCTTTGAAAGTTCTTTGGGCTTTTATACCTTTTTGGCCAAAACGTCAAAAATTTAGCTATGAGCCTTCTATATTTAAAAAATGCGTAAAATGTATAAAAATGGTTTCTATTGCTTTGTTGTCGAACCGTACAGGTACTGGAGAAGTTAGTTCCCCCTGCTAACCCCCCAGGCCCGTAGGAAGGGGGCAACTGGGGCAAGTTGCCCCCAAAATCGGCCGAAGGTGAAAATTCATAAGGGGGGACCCTTATGATTTTTTTTTCGTCAAAATTTTTTTTGCCTGCGGCGCTTTTTATAGTTGTTTTTAAGACTGTTTTTACTATAATCGCCCTAATTTTTCCAAAAATTTTCGCCTGCGGCGCTGTTTTTGATAGTTTTGATACGTTGCCAAAAAAATTTTTTGGAGTTGCCCCCCAAAAAAATCGGGGATCGCTACGGCCCTGCCCCCGGCCAACAGACGAGTACCGTGTCTCTGGAAATTGTTGAAACAATTCGGTAAAGGACCTGAAAAACAGAAGAAAATTGCTTTCCTGATGTACTTCAAAAACCAAATGGTGCATCAGAAGATACGGAGAACTAGAGAAAAAGACCTTTCAAAACCGCCGCCTTATCATGTGTGACCCCGATCAGGCCCTCCTGACAAGCCATTCACCGCCCCGTGTCACAACTTCCAGGGTGGCAAAAACGGGCTGGAGATAACGGCGCGGAGCTGGGCAGTGGCTGGCGGGAAACAGGAAGTTTTTTGAAAATTCGGCTCACCAAACAACGGGTTTTTATTTCGGCTAGGTTAAGATTTGCAGGTATCTCCAGGGACAAGGATTTTTAGACATTTTGTAGGGAGACCAATGTCGATCTCGCTGGCCCGTTTAAAGGTATTGGGCGGCGACCGGTGCCAAAGATTGAGCCATGACCGTCAGCTGACCCCTTGACCCTTCGACCACATGCAATCGGCGGACAATTTGGGGGTGCACAAATAGCACCCTACGAGGTTGTGCCGTACGCTAGCTAGGTAGGAATCTGAAAATAGTATGAAAATCTGAAAATAAATAAATGAAAACATGCCTTGCAAGAAAGGTTAAGTACGGAAAGCTCGCTTTGCAGCGGCAACTCAAGGAGGTTGCGTTTCCGTAAAGTACGCACTCGTTATACGTAGCGAGGTTTTTAAGGCGTAAGGAAAAAAGGTATACTTTCTAACCGACATACGTAGCGCCGCGCGTAATTCCCACGGGAATTTTTGACCGGACACCGCTAGTTCTAATATTAACGCGAATGTTTTTGAACCAGTTGGAACTACGCCGAAAGATAAAAAAGACTTTGAAAAGCATATTTAAAGTTACTCCTATGGTTTCCAAAATCAGCTTTTCGGCCGAAACTAGGTGTAAGTCGTAGTCATCCAGCCTAAAAAGAAATTACGTTGAAAAAGAAATTTAAAGAGACCCCACATGGTCTGCAAATTTCGCGGCTGAAAAGTGTCTTACAGCATTAACAGGCTTCACCTCTACCTCCCTACAAGGTATACAGAGTTGCACCAAGATTTTTTCAGGCGTATCCACACAGAATGAGCAACCGGTGGTGTGTGTGAGCGCCCGGGTTGCCCCATGCCCAACCAAGTGTCACCGCCCGTCGCTGCCGCCCTTTCCGCAGCAAGCGCGGGGAACTCAGCAACAACATTCCCCGCGCCCGACCAGCCGCATTTGCGCAACGACTCCCGTCTTTCCCTCCCAACGCCTCCCATCGATCGCCTAGCAGCCCAACGTTTTCCGCATTTTGCTGAGATATTGCAACGGCTTTTTGGTGTATTTTACTGCCCGCGCACTACTGAAACCATAAAATGGCCTCCAGTTAATTGCAAACAGCCAAGCGCAACTTTAGAAATTGTTCAATAACCCGCTTGAAAAGTTATTTCCAGGCCTACACGTGCCTCTAAAGTAAGCGTTTGATATCACGCTTACCGAAAAGTTCATTGAAGCCTCCAAAAACCTCAGTATCTCGTTGTTTTCTCTCCACTAAGCCCTAAACTTACAGATAAAAGTACTCTTACAATCACTACAAGATGGAGGAGCCTGTGGATTTCCAGTCGCTGCTCATGGGACTCGCCGGGGAGCCTCAAGAGCAAAAGTAAAAACCGGAAGTCGACTTACAGCTTTTTAGGCCGCTCCTTCCTTCGACGCCGGGCACAGTTTCCGACTTTACGCTCTTTGACAGCCCTAGGTATGGTTTAAAAAAGTTTTCTTTGAAACTACCAAGCAATTTTCAGTCTGCCGGCAAGTGAAGCCCGGTCACAAAGAGGCGGTCAGCTCTATTACGACGAGCTGGGGTACGAGTATCGCTCGTACCGCGTCGACTCGACCGGTAAAGCAAACTTTAGGTATGGTTAGTTTTGCGCCTAAACCGTAATGTCAGATGCTGCGCAAGAAGATGCACCGGAAAAGCTTACTGGCAAGGCGATGGACTGCCCGTCACCAGAAAATCCAACCACAACCATCCGCCACCGACCTTTGCCAAAGAGGTTTGGTGATTTTGTGTGTTAATAAACCAGCCTTTTATATAGGTACGACACATCAACGAATCGACGAAGATTTGGCCACACGGTCCGCAAAGCGCAACCGAGGCGGTGGCCGAACAACTAAAAACTGTCCCGCCCTACATCAAGCCGCTGATCAAAGAGGCGAGCCTCAAGCGGAAGGCGATGCGCTTGAAAAAGGCCCGGAAAAACCAGAATACATTGAACTGTAAGTAGGTTGATGAGTTCTTTTATTTTTCGTCATTACAGCTGCACCAAGCGCGGTGCAATCCGACGTCCTCGCCAATCTATTGAATCAAAACACGACGGCACTGCAGACTTGCGAGGATTGCGGCTCTCAGGAACCGGATGAGAAGATGTTCCAGTGCTTGGAATGCGCGAAAAATGTTTAAAAACCTGGGATTTCATTAGATTTTATATTTTTCAGTTGTGCTCATACTGCGGACTCTCCATGCACAAGTCGCACATCGAAAAGGTGGAACCGCTAGGCCCTCGACAGGTTCGGAAATGGCGCTTTAAAATAGGAGACAAAACATAATAGGTAAAAGCTTTGACGGAGAACGCGAAGCAGCTTGCCGATAAGGCCATGAGCTTTTATTCTGAATTTATTCCGAACGAGCACGCCGATGTCCAGAAGAAAATTCAACTCAGCCTGCAGGTTAGTTTTTATAGGGAAGCCCCATGCCCAAAATTTCCAGCTGCTCGCCCGCAAGGCCGATGAAGTTGAAAAATGCACCAGGATATCTGACGCCGAATTTCAGAGCAACTACGTCAGGTGCAATCCATTTTCTTCAATTGAATTTTCGCTTCAGAGGCTTTCTCGAACTCTTTTCCGGCTACACTGATGAATATCTGCCCTCGTTGAAGAAATTCTCAAACCAATTGGAGGTAATAAAACTACTAAGAAAGTTAAAAACCTTTGCAGGCGATGATCACCCAGCTGGCCGGCGAAAATAGCCAGTGAGTGTCGAAGAATGATAGCAAGAAAAACGGGTTTAAGAATATAAGTATCAATAATATGCGTGTCAATAAATAATTATTATTTGGCCTTTAAACCTCATATTCGCTAGGTGTATCCCCTCGTCCAGAGTTTCGTAGTGTTGCCGCTCGGTCGGTGCCCTAAAAAAGGATTCGAACATCACAAAACGGCTCACCTTTATCGTCTTGTCGCCGTTCATCTTTTTCGCAAATCTGGAACCGAACTGCATGGCCTGTTTGGGCGTCTTGTAGAATGAGGAATTGGAAGCGCGGAGGGCTTCGCGGATGATCAGTTTGTCGCCCACACCTCTCGCCTTTTCCGCTTCACACTTATAGGCAAGGGGTAACACTCGGCAGAATTTGGCCAGAGTCCCGACAAGGAATGGGGCCCTGAAAGATATTCAGATTCGCGGAATAGAAACCTACACCAAACGTCGGCCGTGGTAGAGAGCAACCCGGGCATCCCTGCTGCCATTCCTCCATCCATAGCGCACCAGCTCCATTTCTAACTCGTCTTGCAGACCGGGGGCGCCCTCCTGAAATCGCTTGTGAACTTGGGAAAATGATTTTCACTTTTATGTTTTGACGATTTTGTATAAAAACCTTTTCTAGTCGATGCTTATGTCGAGAATAGCCCGCACACAACTCATCCGCGCCGCTTCCCACAACAAATTTGCGTGCTGTGCTGCTACAACATGATTTTTAAGAATGTTTGAAGCACTACCTCACGGTGGTCTCTTCATCAACGAGCCCAATCCCACGTAGGGCAAACCACATCACGAAGCCCAAAGACTCGTCTAGCACCGTGTCGCAGGGTCGAACGATTCTGAGCTTTCGTGTGATACATCATGATAATGAAATTACCTAGGTATTACAAGCCGCTGCTTCTCGATCTCCGCCATCGAAACGTCGCTGCAAATGAGGCGCCATGCGATTTTTGGATGATTTGTCCTCAATTCCTCGAACCCCGCCAATCCACGCTGGCGATCCGGGGCTTGTGAACACTCCTAAGCCATCGGTTCAACTCGGTCTTACAAAAGTCAACCCACCTTCGGCGTCTCACCAAAAGCCACATTGATCAGATCGACTTCATGCCCTTCTGCCAAAATAATGGCGAGGAGATGTCCCATCAGAAGGCTGTCCACTCCGCCGGAAAATGCTGAAAAGAAAGATGCGACTTTTCGAAAATATCTTCTAACCAATGGCTATCGTCTCCCGGCACTTTATCTCAGCTTCCAACAATTGGCGAAGTTGGTTTGTTCCGTGCAACAGGAATTCAGTGATTTTGGAGCCCATTTCTTGCAGTGAACCGATGTCTGGCGAGACCTAAAATATTACGAAAAAATACAACTTTTACATACCGCGAAAAATTGTTCGCCAACATTTTCGTGGCGTATTATGTGAGCCTCTGGAAATATCAGCTCTAACGCCGCCACCCAAGAGCCTTCATGCATCTGCATATCCTCAGTCATTCGTGGTGGTGTCAATATTGTGTGGAATTCAGCTTTCTTCGCAGCAAAATCCAGCAGTGTCACAGAGCCGGGAGGCACATCTCGCCATTCTAGCGACTAAAAAAAATGGTGAATTGAGTAGGTCGTGAACCTACCTACCTCTTGTACGTTTTCTTCTAAACCTGGAGCGCTATTTTCAAAACAGGATATGAAAACACCATCAGGTCTGTTCGAATGGAGAAGGCTCTCCCGCCCATAGGCATCTCGAGCAATCAGCAGTTGCGAAGATGACTAGAAATTAGGCATTGTAAAAGGCCCTTTTCGCCAAAAATACGTAGCTGATCAACGCCAAGGGTGCGTCGAATGCCAGCAACTTTTCAATAGCTTCTTTCAGATCACCATCCAAAATAGCAGTGACCTAAAAGTTTAAAATATCTTTGAAAAGAGCTCACGAACCTTTTGCGGAAAGGGGGTTAATCCAGATGGGCCTTCTACATGACATTCACTCACCTAAACTGGAATATTGGCTTCGAAGCTAAGATACCGCTTGATGAGCACAGTTTTTTAGGCCTGATCCGTCGACGAAGAAGATGGTATTTGGCGTCAGCGGGTTCATAAAATGCCTAAAAAAATTGAAAATTGGCTCCAACCACCACTTGTGAAACTTTTTGAAAGTATAAAATCCAGGCAACGTTGCGCTTTTGTTTTTGTTAGATAAAGTGGATTTTTGCTTAGCAAAATAATTTTTTCAAAATTAAAAACTTTGGACGATTTCCTCTCGTAACCAGTTGCAGAGAAGATGGTTTTGTTTGGCAACGTAGAGTCGTGTGCCGTAAATTTCGGCCCAAAACTTTTTTACAAAAACTCTTACATCATGCTTCTTTTTAATTTTTTCTTTTTCTTTTTTGTTTCAATGACTCGTCAACAAGTTTGCATCAGCATTACCCCGGTCTTGTTGGATGTACACAGCGGTTATAACGGATCGCGTCGTAGGGGGCGAGCTGGACTGAATTTGCTTCCCCCAATTCCCGTTTTCCATTTCGTCCCAACCCCAAAATTGGCTTTCCGACGCCCCCGACACTTTGTTGAGCGTTTTTTCGCGCTATTCGCAAAGCTTTTCCGCAACTTTCCTGATACATTTTCCCCTTTGAAGCTCTTATCCAAAACTGGTTTAGGTAGCCGCACGGCTTCGCCTTGTAACAACTGCAAGATGGAGGACATTGTGACGGTATTTTGTTCCCCCATTTTGGTATATTTTACCCTATTTAGCACTTGGCCTCCTTCCGACTGGCCGTCAAGGAGGCTGGCGACAGCGTTCGTCAGCTGAAGGCCGACAAGGCGCCGAAGATTGATGTCGACCGCGCTGTCACGATTCTGAAGGCCCGCAAGAAGGAGCTGGAGGAAGCGGTATGTTATTGTTTTTTTCTAAAGATGAGCAACTTGGAGTGAACCAAACACATATTTTTAGGAAATTCGGCTGGCTCCGAAGGAAATTGACCGCGGAAAGTTGGAGACCCTTCTGAAGCAACGTTTCTTCTACGACCAGTCATTCCAGATTTACGGTGGTGTCACCGGCTTGTAGGCGTTTTTTTGAAATGTATAAATTTCTTTAGGTACGATTTCGGTCCGATGGGCTGTGCGCTGAAGCAGAACATGCTAAATGAATGGCGCAAGCACTTCATCCTGGAGGAAGGGATGCTCGAAGTCGATTGCACATCGCTCACCCCGGAGGTTGTCTTGAAGTACGTTAAAGCTCACGCCGGCATTTACAACCAATTTTTTTCAGAGCGTCTGGCCACGTTGACCGATTCGCCGACTGGATGGTCAAAGATTTGAAAACCGGCGACCCGCACCGTTGCGATCATTTGATCAAGAACGCCGCCGAAGCTATGATTGCGGTACGTTCTTCCCGTCTTTGCCTTTTATATTGATTTAGAGCAAGAAGACGCCCGAACCGGTGAAGGAAGAGCTGCGCGAGATTTTGGCGCGCCTTGACGGATTCGACAACAACGATATGCAAGCCGTCCTCGTGAAGTACAACATGAAGTCACCCGCCGGCAATGATCTGACTGAGCCTATCGCGTTTAATTTGATGTTCCCGACCCAGGTAAGAGGGTCTTTTCAACTTCTGAAAGCTCTTTTCAGATAGGCCCAACTGGTGATCAGCGTGCGTTCCTCCGCCCGGAAACCGCCCAGGGTATCTTTGTCAACTTCAAGCGCCTGCTTGAGTTCAACATGGTATTCAGTTCCATCCTGTTTTCGTACTTTTTTTCTAGGGCCGTGTCCCGTTCGCTGCCGCCCAGATCGGCAACGGCTTCCGCAATGAGATATCTCCCCGCCAGGGTCTCATCCGCGTCCGCGAGTTCACCATGTGCGAGATCGAGCACTTTGTCGACCCCACCGACAAATCTTGCGCCAAATTTGCCAAGGTATCAGCTTCCTTCGATTTATGAGCTTTTCAGGTTCGCAATTATGTGCTCACCCTCTTCACCGCCAATGATCAGATGAACGGTTCGGCCCCAATCCAGATTCCGATTGGTGAAGCCGTCGATAAGGTATTCTGACGCCTTTGTTTTGGTATATAATACTTTTCAGAAAATTGTCGATAACGAAACGCTCGGCTACTATATGGCCCGCTGCCATATGTATCTGCTGAAGGTCGGTGTCGACCCGAAACGCCTCCGTTTCCGCCAGCACATGGATAACGAGATGGCCCATTATGCTCAGGTAAGATTAACATTGCAAATACAACCATTGTGCTTCTTTTTAGGACTGCTGGGATGCCGAGATCAAGACTAGCTACGGCTGGATCGAGTGTGTGGGTAACGCCGATCGTGCGTGCTACGACCTGAAGCAGCACAGCCTGGTCAGAGCCCCTCCGGTCGCATAATCTGGGTTTTTAGTGCGCGAAGACGGAGCTGGTGGCCCAAAAGGATTTGCCCGAGCCCAAATTTATCGACACATGCGAGGCCGTTACCAACATGCCGATAATCGGCAAGACACATAGGAAAAATGCGCAAAAGGTACGCTTTTCCATGTTTTCCTGAACTGATTCTTTAGATTCACGAACATCTCTCGAAGCTGTCGTTCGAGCAGGCCGTTGCACACAGCAAAGAATTGTAGTTTTTTTGTGTGCAACATTTTCGTTATTTTTAGGGAAGCAAATGGCAAGCTGACGATCACCGTTGATGGCGAATCTTTCGAGCTGTCCAAGGAGATGCTCTCGTTTTCGCGTGAAGAGAAAAAGGTAGCAATTTTTTTGGGTAAACCGGGCTATATAAAAAGATTCTTAAACTTGAAAAATCTTATTTACTCCGTAATTCTGTTTATTTTCTTTTTTTTCAGATCTGCATCGAAGAATTCACGCCCTCGGTCATCGAACCGTCCTACGGTATCGGGCGCATTATGTATGCCGTGCTGGAGCATGCATTCCGCCAGCGCGAAGGTGATGAGCAGCGTCAGGTATGAGTTTTCCTAGTTCTGGGTATTAATCTGAAATGCAGCCGATATCCAACGTCGTGCTTTCAGTTCTTGGCCCTTCCGCCAATCGTCGCCCCCATCAAGTGCTCGATTCTGCCGATATCCGCCCAGACGCAGCTGGTCGAGATAATCGAGGCCGTCAAGGACAACTTGCGCGCCCATGAGCTCTCGTTCCGCGTGGTATGAATATAGTTTTCTTCGAACTAATCTTTAATTCTTTGAGGATGACTCGGCTGGTTCGATCGGTCGGCGCTACGCCCGTACCGACGAGATCGGCATCCCGTTCGGTGTGACCGTCGACTTTGAGAGCGAGAAGCTTCCCTGGACTGTCACCCTGCGTCACGCCGAGTCCTTGAGGCAAATTCGTCTAAAGGTGTGTTTTTCGCCGACGGATTTAAAAAAATATGGTTCTTTCGCAATATCGGGGGGGGGGAAGGCAAACTTTTTCACTAGGATCCAATTTTTCTAGAATAAACAGCAGAAGTTTTTCTGCCCATGTTTACGATTCCTACAAAATACAATACAAAAAATTTTGTTAAATATTACATTTCGACTATAATAAGACTTTAGAATTTCGATTAATTCACCCCTGAAGTGTATATTTAGGTCGAGGAGGTCGGCGAGACTGTCGAAGCCCTGGTGCGCGGGCGTTTGAGCTGGGAGCAGGCTGAGGATCAGTTCGAGCGCTTCGATGCCAAGGCTGAATAAGTCCCCTCTATTCTGATCTATGCGCTGAATTTGTTGTCCCCTCATAATATACAATTGTCCCATGGTTATCCACATATTCTGCTTTTGCCACCGCATTGTGATTAGCCACCAATCTCTTGTCCGCCTCCGTTTTTTGTTTGATTTCATGGGTTCTGGTTGAAGCGGTAATTTTGTTGCTGCCCTCTCTCATATTTTTATGGGCCTGCTGATATGCAGTGATAATAAATTTCGTAACTTTTAGCGCAACAATGATTTCAGAATGGATCTCTGGATATGGAGGGGAAGGAGAATCTCGTGCTCTCTCCGGGCGCTGCAGAGAAGCGCAGGGGGGACACGAAAAAGGGTTGGCCATGGGCCACTTCACGCGGGCCGCGCTCCTTTTTCAGGAGCATTGGGCTTTGTCCGTCACACGGGCGGGGCTCCTCTTTTCGGAAGGGAACGAGGCGGAGCAAGGGGGTGCAGAAGCACCCGAGGAGCAAGACACCCATAGGCACCAGTATCGACCAACTTTTTCTCTGTGGAATTATCGATTGTTGATGGTTGCTATTTCCGGTTATGAAATGTAGACGGGAAGACATTGTTCTCGTTTTGTGCCTTTCTGGTCCCTTTAAAAGCTCGCCTCCCTTTTTCGCTGCTGCGGTTTCTGAATGGCGGGCCTAATCCGTGGGGGTGGACCTCGGGAGGCCGAGCCGTCCGGGACATATTTACACCACTTTACGAGCCATTAGCGATGATTTGCTCACCTGGTGTTCCTCTTCTGTTATTGTCATCAGAATTTCAAAAGGAGTCTTCAAATAGCCCCCCGTTCTGAATAGGTGAAACCTCCGGCGAAGGCTATTTTAGCAAGATTTTTTAAGGACAAAAAGGATCGGCTTATCTACTTTTTTTTTTGCAATTTCTCTTACCAATTACTACCCGCCAATTCGAGAACCATCTGGCGGCAAATCGGCCTCCTCACTCATTTTGGAAGCGCCTCCAATTTTTGGGGGGTAAACAACCCGGCGCCCCCGGAATCTATATATTTTTGGCCGGCCGCCAGCTGGGCCCCAGTTTCCGCTTTTTCCATTTCATAACATCACCCGCGCCTTTTTCTTCGATTCATCATCGAGAATGAGTTGCTATATATTTCAGAAGAGGTGCGACAAGGTGTTTTGTGCAAGCCGGGCGGCCGTTTTCGCCTTCCGGGCACTGGCCTAGGCCAACCTGAAGCTTGAAATACGCAGGAAATCGACTTTGTAAAAAGGTTTCTTTTATTTTCCTTAACAAACTACAATATTCCTTTTTTTATTTGAATATTCCATCGGCACTGGCATTATCGGGGGGGGTATTCCTAAGCGTCTTTACAAATTTTGATTAGAAAACTCTAAAAACAGCGATTTTTCGAAAAAAACGGGGCCGATTTTCGACCGATTACTAATTTTTTTGAGCTAAAAACTAATCTAGTTCAATTTTGCTAAAAAACACTGATAACACTCGCTACTACGGTACTAGGCATTTCTAGACTTCAGGGAAAAAATTGGTCCGCTCCCCCGATAATACGAAAAGCACCGGGCAATCAAAATCGCAGATGTTCGACGAGCGGATCCTCGGGACGACCGTCCAACTCGGTGAGCTGAAAAAGCGGATCCGAATCGCCCTATCGACTCATGCGCGCTTTGGGCCGGGCTTTTTCTTTGAGAGAATTGGTGAAAATCAGGTATCTAGGATTTCTTATATACAAAAAGCTATGCTACACAGGGCTTCCTATCGATAACCGTCCGAATCCATTTCGACTGGATCGGCCCGGACGCGCAGCTGTTGCCCGACACTTTGGTGCTGAAGGTATCAGAATTTCGAGCGTCTACGTTAGACTACTAATTTTTAGATACCCTCCACCGCGGCCATGATTCGCAACATCCAGGCGGGACCGGAAACCGCCGTTCTCGAGCAGCACGCGCGGCTTGCCATGATTTTGACTGTGGTAAGACTCGCCTAATTGATTATGACATTTTATGTATATATTGAGTTTTTCTTTATTTACCATTTTACAACCCAGGGCCACATCTCCGAGGTGTCGTTCTACCAGCTAGCCGCAAAAGAGGGCCTCCACGCCACCCTGAAAATCCCCTCCTGCATCCGGGCCCAACACTTTCGCAGGTAGCAACTAAAATAATTTTTTTCTTTTACAAGGTACCTCCCCAAATCCACGATTCGGGTAAAAACAGCAAAAAGCGGCTCAGAAAGACTAATCATTCCCCAAGTATGGGTCGGTCTAGGGCAAAGTTTGTCCTCACCACCGCGGCCGGGGGTCGAACCCGGGCCATGCGGGCCGGGAGCGACGAGCACTACCCCTCGACCACAAGGCAACGCCGAGTGGGTGGTGCCGGGAGGGAGTTGAGGGGACTGGGGCGCCCAGCGTGCACGGGAATTTTTGGGAGCTAAATCTTCGGGAATCTTTGCTAGTCTTCAACTTGTCTAGATTATGGTTTCGTTTCTTCTAATTTGTAGCTTCTTTTCTCCATTGTATGAGCTTACAAGGAGACGTTTTTGAGTGTCGTCGGGACTTTGGCACGGGACCAAGCCTATCTTGTACAGAATTTTACGCTGATTCCGAATATGTTAACCGTTTTTGCGGAATAACCATTTCTCGAAAGTTATGAACGATTTAAACCTCAAAACAGCCCAAAATCGGCTACTTTCACTAGTCATAAAAGGCTTTGGAATCGGTTTTAGACAAAACTTGAAAGTGCATCTTGTTCAGAAAAAAAGTCTCTATAAAATAAGCTACTTAACTCAAAAATGCCGGAATTTAGAAAATTTTTGTAAAATTATGGACTTCCTAATTTATCAATTTCCCAACTTTTCAATGATTTTGGAAAAGATGGTACATTTTATAGAGAATTTTTTTCTGAACAAGATGTATTATATCATACTTGTTAGTCCGGACAGCAGTTAGAACGAAAATGCATGTTCTAGAGGTATTTCTGACAAAATTCCGTTCGAATTTTTGACAAAACCGATGGCGCAACTAGTTTGAATGGTTTTTAATGCGATAAAGATGGTAAAAAGATGTAGTTTGTCTGGAGATAGTTGATGGTAAAAATCTATAGTGGTGCGTTATTTTAATGTTGCCCTTACCGATAAAACATTGTATGTACATTGAAAAATCAAAGCTACAAAAACAAGAAATAACACAAAAACAACCGTTTCCAGGAACGGCTCAGAATCGGGCTACCTCCTCCTCGGCGACGTCATCCGTTCCGGCGTCCGTCCGCTGTACGCCGGGCTACGCGAGCCGCAAGTCAAGGCCGTGAGCCACATTCTATACGGCCCATACATTGGCCACATTTTGGCCTCCCCACAATTGGCCCCGGGCTAGGCGCAAATTTGGGTAGCCTCTCAAAGAAAGGTGGGAAATGACTTTAATTGGGTTTCTTTCCTTTCTGGTTTTTTAGCGTCTATTTCCAAGGGGTCTTCCTCCAGTTAAAAGCCTGGCAGCGTAGTATGCAAAGAGTTACGTACCGTTCAGGTGCTCGAACAGCTCGCCAAGCTCCACGCTTTCTCGCTGACCAACGACAGCTGGCGGCATGGAGCCGGGAAGATATTCAGGTGCTATTTGGGCGCTTTTTCATCGTGTTATTAGTGACATTTAACTATATAACTTAAGTGAAAAACTATCTAACATGCTTTAAAAATGCTTCGAAAATCAAAAGTTCGATCGAAAATCGGCCATTTTTGGCCCTAAAAATTGACACGTTTTGCATTTTTTAATAAAACTTTGTCAGTTTTTGCGTTTAGGAATAGTGAAAAGACTTTAAAAACATTTTATTGATTATTTAATGACAAGTAGCTCTATTTTATACTGGAAAATTGGAATAATAAAGCAAGAAAGTTGGGTTCCCCTAATACCGGAATCCCACCCTAAGTTCTGTATTTTACGATCGCTATTTATCAATACCTTTTCCAGATCAACCTTCCTCGAGGTCCAAAAAGCCTATCCCACCATCACTCGCGAGCGCATCGGGCGCGCCATCTGCCAGCTGCGCCGCGACTTCGGCAAGTGGTTCACCACCCGCCACGGCGGCAACCTGCTCGACCAGCTCGCCGGCGTCGTTGACGATCAGGTAGTTTTAGAGTTTTACGCTGAAATCAGGTTTAGCTCTCGAATTCTGATGGCGACGCGGTGCACCTTGGCTCTGGGATGCCGTCGGTGTTGGTGCACGGGGATCTGTGGACGAACAACTTGCTGTGGGCGTTGAACGGGCAGCGCGGGGACACCGATCAACTGTTGGCTATCATCGATTGGCAGGTGGGGGAGTTTGTTATATGAAATAAAGATATAGATTTTGTCGAAATGACAACGTTTTTGACTTTAACAACGAAAGATAATCTGGAAATCGACCGTTTTCGGCTTAAAAGTCAGAAAAGCTTTGTAATAATTGTAATAATTGTAAAAAGGTTTTTTTTACTTTACAAAGGATCTTTCAAACGTTTGAATTCTTTTCAAGAATTCTCAATTTACAAAGATGCAAAGAAACCTTTAGAATGTGCACGCGGGTAACGTGGCCGAGGACTTTGTGCGTCTACTCGGCTCCTCGTGCTCCCCACGGGTATGGAAGACTTAATCATTTTAATTTAGCCACTAGCTGTTGTAGAGTATTATAGTTCATAGTTAAATACATCCCTCCTGTTTTTAGTAATTTCTAGGAAACGTTTTTAGTTGCGTCGTGGCGGGTTGCACCGTTTCGTCTCGCACTACCTCTCCTGTCTGTCGCTGGAGATGAGGCGCAAAGGACATTTCGCGCTCCCATACACGCATCAACAGATCGTGGCCGCGTATGAGAAAATGTTTGGGCAGGTTAGGAAGTTTAAAAAATTGAAATTGAAATTTTTTTGAGGGTTTTTTAGGCTAGAAAATTGAGGCGAGAGTTTGTCGCAAAGTTTATTGAGGCGCATTTCTAAGCTAAGTCGTCTTAAAGTCTAATTGTTTGTGAATTTTGACGCCGCTCGGCGCCTAAAAAGCTCCGTAATCGATTACGCAAGCGAAAAGGCGGCAGTTTCGACCCGAAATCAGTGATCGGGCTAAATTTCGATGTGCCTGAATTCCCTTTCGAGTCTTAATTTTTCTAATCTAGGCGATTTTGAGGTTGAGGTCCGGAGCTAGAAGACCTAGACCCACTTTCAGGGGCTCCTCATCATGCTGCCGTCGTTGAACGCATGCGCCGATGAGGGGAACGGGCTGCTCGGCGAGGAGAATCGACAGGAGCGGCAGGTAATAGAGAGAGCAAAATCAGCTGTAAGTCAAGAAAATGGGATGAATGAATAAGACATACACACCCTGACGAATTTTCAGCTACATTTTCAGGCTGTGGTGCTGGAACGTACGCGGGCCCTCATCGACGACTTCTTCGCCTTCCGCGCCAAGAATACGACTCGATGACGTCGGCGAGAAGTGCTTTGAAGATACGGATATTTGTGTATTGACTTTATGTCCTTTGTACTTTGTATTTTCCCTCCATTGATGTCGTAACCGATTTTTGATGTACATAATCGCAATGTAGATAATTCATAAATGCTCTCAACAAATACAAATCAGCTAGCAGCGGTTCTTGGGTTTATTTTTGCAGAATGCTTCGGGTCCCTGGCGTATTTTCTACGTTTTTACAGTTAGACGCGGACTTTTAACAAGTTTTTTTACAAGTTTTCACAGACTCTTACCGGGTATTAACGTTTTTTACAGGCAAATGCGCATTTTTAAAAAATGTTTCCCCGCATACACTCCGTGAATAAACGCTAAACGATGCGATTTTCGGGCTAAATACTGTACTGTAATTCTCAACGCCCCCTTGGGGATAAGCCGAGGCAAGTACCGCCCGGTACCCGACCCCTGCGACTCATTAGAAAAAAATCCCGACAAAAAGACAGCTTATTTTTGGGAAAAATGAGACGATTTCTCGGCTGTAAAAACCCGGAATCTGCTGCTGTTGCCGGTGAAATCTCAAAAAATTCGGATAGAAGGAAATATGAGAGTATTTTTTTCGATGTAAATAAGTATGACGAAGACAATACGGGAGAAGGATTCAAGAGAAACAATACGAAAATACTGGGAAGAAACTAGATAAAACAAATTTATGTTCTCATTCGCTCGAAACGAGGTATATAAATCCACGAGTTCTTTGATTCCAGTTTTTCCATTCCATTCCGATTCCATTTTATACGGTAGACGTCCAGAATATAAAACGCAGCCTGACACCCCCAATCTCCCGCCAGCAAATCTCACAAGGGAAGTGCACGACCGGCCCACGAGAAATCGACACGAGACATAGTGGATCTGATAGAATCGGACACGCGGATTCCCGAATCTGTAATCAGAATTTGCTAAATAAAACGGAGAAAAAAGTTATGAAGCTTCAAAGTTGGCCAAATCGCCAAAAACGGTACCTTTAAGGGCCCGTAAAAACCGGTGGGACGGAATTGAGGAGAAAAGAATTAGTGCAGCTTGTTCAGCAAAAAAAGCGCTTTCGACAGAGCTGTAATACGTAGCATTTGCAAACAATTCACTGAAAAAAGTTTTTTTGGATTCACGGGCAAGGGTATGGCCTGTCAAGTTCATAGAAGAGATTTTCGCGAAATCATCGTAAACTTGAAGTAAGATAGCTCATTCGAAAGCGCTTTTTCTGCTGAACAAGATGCACTAATTGGTTGTGGCAAATTTTCATTCCCTGGGCCTTTACAGGCCCATAAAAGTCCGATTTTGGGCGATTTTGCCAACTTTGAAGCTTCATAACTTTTTTCTCCGTTTTATTTAGCAAATTCTGATTACAGATTCGGAATCCCCGTATCCGATTCTATCAGATTCAGATTTTTATCTCGTGTCGATTTCTCGTGGGCCGGTCGTGCACTTCCCTTGTCAGATCATACCCGGGCCATGCTCGGAAAGTGCAGGGCCACCCAAAAAAAGGCTGGCACCGGCTGGCCCGCCTTTTTCCTAATTCTAAATGGAACGTGACTAATTTCCGAGAAATAATGCCGAGGAGAACCCTAGAAATTTTTGTAGTCTTGAAAAAGGGGTTGGAAACTTGAAAAAAAAAATCGGAAAAAGGGCTCGCAGACCCCGCAGGTTTTACAATATGGCTCACGCAAAATCTAGACAAAAATGTGATGAAAAATGATATATCCTAAGCTTACGACTATGCCGAGCACGGGTTTTCAGGACCAAAATCTTCGGAGTTTCAAGAGTTTGGAGTTTATCTCTCTCTCTCTCTCTCTCTCTCTCTCTCTCTCTCTCTCTCTCTCTCTCGCTGTTTCTCCCTCTCTCTGCCTCTGTCTCTCTCTCTTTCTCTCTCTCTCGCTCTTTCTCCCTCTCTCCCACCATAACCCTTAGGCGATATCATTCCTACCGCTTCTTCCCTCCCAAATTCCCTCAACTTCCCCGGGATCCAACAAATCCAGGATGGCCCTAGAGGCCCCACCCGGGCCCCTCGAATGCCTTGGTGCCAGTCCGTGTCCCCTCGGCCTCCCTCCTTCCACTTTTTCTGCTTTTCCCTCTTTTTGCGCTTCCAAAAAAGGCCTTCCCCCGCTGCCCGTTTGCCATGTTTTTGCTTGGGGCTTCGGACAGGCTGTGTCGTCTGGGCCCTCTGCCTTGGGCCCCCACCCTCCGCCCCACTGCCTTTTTTGATGCTCGTTTTTGGACTCTCTGCAAAAAACGCAGCCCACGCCCATTTTTGCCCTTTTTTGTTGGGGGGGGGGGGACCGTTTTCAAGGGTGGACGGCTGGAATTTTTGATCTCGACAAGATTTGGGTCGTCTTGGATTTTCGTCAGGTTTTGTAGTTTACTGGGAAAGATATTCATGCTCCTCTGTATCTCTCTCGTTCCCTCTCTCGCTTTCTCTCCCAATATCCTCTTGCGCGCTCGATTACGAAAGCTCGACCTCCCAAAGTTGACTCATCTGGCCGGAATTCATGAAATCCGTTGATGCTCATTGAAATTCAAAGGTGTCGAAATCGGCATTAATGCTCTTTGTACAGGGAGACTTGATGCTGCTCACGCTTTTTGATGCTGTTAGAATTTATCCGGTGTTGCCAGGCCTTAAAAATAAAAAAATGTCTCTCTCTCACTCTCTTTCTGTGTCTCTCTCACCCTCACTCTCTCTATCTCTCTCTTTCTCTCTTTCCCTCTCTCTCTCTTTAGTTCTCTTTAGTTCGAATCTTGCTTCATGCTACTACATGATCCCCCAAGGTGCTGACGCATATCATTTCCCCCTCATAAAATACGGGCTTTCGCTTGACCATGTCCAGCCCATCCCCCCATCCGGTTTTCGTGTCCGGCGGCTGGGTCGAAGGGGGGGCAGGGTGCTGTTTTTGCGTTGTTTTGACCCCATGCCGGGACCGGTCTGCCTCCCAGCGGATACGGTAGCTTTCTCTCTCTGTCCTTCTACCCCTCTCTCTCGCTCACTTTCACCCCCACAGACCGGTCAGGGGTCAGCAGCTATGTGCTGTGTTCGTGGTGGGACCCGTTTTCCCCGGTCGTGGATATCACTTTCATTCCCTTGTCATTTGTCGCTTCACGGAATGCTTCTTGTTTCTTTTTTTGGTGGGTGATAATGGACCCGAAAAGCTAACTGAGGTGGGTTTTGGGAAAGCCGAAAGGTGAGGGCTAGGTTTGACCGAAAATTGGGCTTCAAGCCACCGTCAGAGTGAATATCGTTAGAGCGGAGGGGCCTGCCCAGGCCGTTCCGTGCCCGCCCCACGTTCCCACTTTATGGCCCAGGGGGGGGGGGGAGTCAGGGGCGCAACCCAGAGGGTCGTTTGCCCGGTCGTCCCATTTCTCCTCCTTGGGCCTCGGGGTTCTGTTTGGTAGTCTAAGCCAAGGCTACATGAGCCTGAGCATAAGCATAAGCCTCAGCCCATAACCTCAAAAAGCTATTCAAAATTGGCGCATTAATGTTCCTTTGAAGCCGTTGAAGGGAGCGTGACACCAGATTCTTGTTGTGAAGGTAATTCCAGCTCCTCTAATTGTAAGAGGCTCCCCAACACCCCACCTTTAAGACAACCGTAACGGAGGTTTTCAAGATTTTTCGACGGTTTTTGACGACTTGCCAACTTTCCGATCCTTTGCCTGACTTGCCCACTCCTTTAAGTTCCTTGAAAGTTCTGGGGGATTGCCTGAAAGCAAAAAATGTTTTTGGAAAAGCCATTTTCGAAAATCCTTTTCAAAAATTTGTAGGCAAGCCAAAATTGTTTTTCCCGAGCGCCAAGTGTCAAAAAGCCGTGTTTGACCGGCCGGGTCGAGGGTTGGTGCAGGACCAGTTTTCACCTCCCAACTTTTATGACAAAACAGTCGGGGTCAATTTTGGGAGCTTTTCCTGGTCGTCGGTCACACACACAGGGGTCCCGCCACGAAAAGCACCCGGGGGGGGGGTTACTGTGCAGAACAAGTGCGTCCTCCTGCGGCCGGGGGTCAGGTGTGACCCCCTCCTCCGGACGTACCATGTCGAAAACAAGGAGCAGCATTGTGAGTGAGTGCGCTTCATGCTCTCTCTCTCACTCTCTCTCTCTCACTCTCTCGCTCATTCTCTCTCATTCTCTCTCTCTCTCTGTCTCTTTCTCTCTTTCCCTGTCAGTATGGTGGGAATGGCGTACAGTTCCGGAACTGCCCCCTTCCCAGGACCCCCTCCGGCTGCTGCTCCTGCTCTTCACACAAAACAACCTTGTCCGACGACCCCCGTGAACTTTCTGCCACTAGGTTCCGCCCGGAATTTTTCCAGGCCTGATCGGTTCTGAGTGACTTTTCGCCTGGCTTCTCCGATTCAGCCCACCTTTTCGAGCGAGTTGTTCAAGCTGTTCGGACTGCTCCAGACGGTCAGCTTGTTCGAACTGTTACCTTCTTGCCATTCACCGCCCTGTCAAGCTGTTCGGGCTGCTCAAGTCGTACAGCTGTCCGCGCGGTCCAAGCTGTACAACCCCGTTCGTCCCCCCTAACTGCTCAACCTGTTCAAACAGTTCGGGCTACTCGAGATCTTCGCATTTCACTTGCCGCGCGGCATACTCGAGCCGTTCAAGCTGTTCAAGCGTTCGAAGCTGATCCCCGAAGCACTTTTGCAAGTCGCTTAAGCTGCGCAATTCGTGCTCATAAATGAGGTTATTAGAGGCGCTTGAGGGCATTTGTTCGAGCAGTGCAAGGCGCTGGGCCTTGCGCACGCGATTCGTTCGTTATCATTTCTTTGTTTCCAAGAGCCCGAGCGCCTGCAGCTACTCAGGTTGTTCGAGCTGCTCAAGATTCTCACGCTACTCAAGCTATCCGAACAGTCAAGCTCATTCAGCTCGTCTGGTTCCTCAAGCTTCATAAGCTGCGTGTACCTAACTTGAGTTCCTCAAATAGCCCAGGCTGTCCGCAGCTTCGAGCTTTTCGAGCCGTTCAGAGCTTGCCCCACTAAA